CCTTAGTATTTATCCAAGGAAATGAAAACACTAATTGAGAAAGATATATATACCCCTATGTTCACAGCAGCATTATTTGCAGTAACCAAGATGTGGAGGCAACCTGAACGCCAATCAATAGACGAACAGATAAGCAAGGTATAAATATGTGTGTGTGTGTGTGTGTGTGTGTGTGTGAGAATATATATTCAGCCATAACAAGAATGAAATTTCGCCATTTGCAACAATACGAATGGACCTAGAAGGTATTAGGTTAAGTGAAATAAGTCAAATAAAGAAAGACAACTACTGTATGATTTCACTTATATGTGGAATATAAAAAACAAATGAACAAACGTAACAAAACTTAAACAGAGTAATAGACACAGAGAACAAACACATGGTAGCCAGAGGGGAAAAGGTGAGGGGAGGGAGAAACACATGAGGAAGATTAAGAGGTACAAACTTCCTGTTGCAAAATAAATGAGTTGCAGGTATGAAATATACAGTGTGGGGAATATGGTCAGTAATTATTTATTATCTTTTTATGGTGACAGAGGGCGACGAGACTTATTGGGTGATCATTTTGAAAGTATAGAAATATACCATTTCTCAAGATGGCAGAAGAGTAAGACTTAGAGATCGCCTTCCTCCCCAGAAATACATCAAATTTATGTCTGCGTGCATGGTCCAACTAAGCCCAGGTACAACTACTGAGTCAGCACTCCCACCAGCCGCAACTACTGAAGCCCATGAGTCCGTGCTCTGCAACAAGAGAAGCCGGCACAGAGAAGCCTGCACACTACAATGAAGAATGGTGACAGCTAGAGAAAGCCCATGCACAGCAATGAAGACCCAGTGCAATAGATAAATTTATCTATTTATAAACAGATAAATCATTAAAAAAAAGTACACCTGCATGTGGAACAACTTCTACAGAACACCTACTGACTGCTGGCAGAAGACTTCAGATTTCCAAAAAAGGCAAGCTAATCTCCACACAACCAGGTTGGGAGAAAGAAGGAACGAAAAAGAAAATAGAGGGACAAGGGAATCGGGATGGGACCTGTGCCTCTGGGAGGGAGCTGTGAAGGAGGAAAAGTTTCCACACACTCAGAAACCCCCTCACTAGTGGGGCTGGGGGAAGCTTCAGAACCTCAGGAGAGAGAGCGGCAGCTGGTGTACAGTGGGCAAAGTGCAGGAAATTTGCAGAGATCAGTGCTGACAGCACCCCCAGCCTGAGATGCTTGTCTACCTGCCCGCTGAGGCGGGTGGGGGCTGGTGCTGAGACTCGGGTTCAGAGGCCAGACCCCAGGGAGAGGACTGCCGTGAAGACAGTCTGAGGGCGCAAGTACAACACAGTTGCAGGAGTCCAGGGAACAGCCTGGACTGGCCAGAGAGACAGGCCGGCGGCCAGGGACGCTGTGATTCTGTGCACTCACAGCAGGCAGGGCCTGCCTTCACAGGCACCAGAGGAGGGCTGAGCTGTAGCTCTGACCCAGGAGGTGGACACGACAGCTGCCCCACTTCCCCTAGGCTGTGAGCGGGCACAGGTCACTGCCCACACCTTCCCGGGAGCCTGTGCTGCCGGCGTCACCGCGGGATCTGTGCCCTGGGGTCGATTCCCCTGGGAAAGCGCAGGCCCTGCCCCAGGCTGTAGCAGTTTCTCGGCGGCCTCTTCTGATGAAGGCATTCCCTGCACATCCCAAACGCGTCTGCTGCGTGTCCCTCTCCCCAGCCCGTGTGAGCACGGGAGCCCTAACCAGCGGCCGCTGCCCCTCTCGTCTGGGTGGAGAGACAGATGCTGGAGGGCAGCCCGCGAACAGAGGTGGGCCAGAGCCAAAGCCGAGCACCGGCTGTGTGAGCAAAGGAGAAGCATGCAGGAGCAGTGAGCTCAGTCTCCACAACTGGTGTGGGAAGCCCTGCATCTGGAACATCTGATAAACCATGCGTTCCCACATTTGAGGCTGTGGATACTGGGGGCAGCTGTGGACTTGGAAGACAGTACAAGCTGGAGTGAGGCCAGACCAGAATCTGATCTGGCCCCGTAAGTGCCCAGTGCACATCCAGAGACCTTTCTAAGAAGTGGAAAGGCAGGAGTTGTAGGTCTGTTACTACTCTTTTCTGTTTTGTTCTCTTCTTGTTCTTTTTTATTATTCATTTAATTTTATTTTTATGCTTTTAAGTACATTTATTTTATTTTTTTCCGATTTCCACAGTATGTTTTCATTATATTGCTTTTCCCCCTTGGTTTTGATCTTCTTTTTAACTATATTTTGCCTTGATCTATCTTTACCTCTTTGATGTTTTGTATTTTCTCCTTCTGTCTTCATCTTGCTTTTGTTTTTACTTTTTTTTTCTTTTGATTGTATTGATGTGGTTGTTTTATGTTTTCTTTGCTTTTATTTTAGTTTGCTTTCTGCATTTGATTTAATCTTGCTTTTGTGTTTTTGCTAGTTTTTACTGTTGGTTTTCATTTATTGGTTTGATCACTCTCTTCTTTTTGTTTCTTCTTTTTCTCTTCTTTTCTTTTAGTGAGTTTGAGTGTGTGAATGTCTTTTTGTGTTTTTTTCTGTTTATCTTGTTTTATTTTGTCCCTTAATTGGGGACATAACTTTCTGCTTTTTCATACTGCTTAATTTTCTGTAATGATGTTCTTCTTGCTTCTTCTGTCTGCCCTCAGATGGAGGAGGCTAAGAAACTTGTGTAAGCTTGATGTGAGGGACTGGTGGTGGGAAAAACTGGGTCTTGCTCTGGTACATAAGGCCTTGCTCAGTAAATCTTTAATCCAATTATTTGCTGATGTGTGGAGTTGACTTGGGGTTTTGTCTGTCTTTTCTTTGTTTGATTGATTGTTTTATCTTTTTCTTTCTCTTCTGTCTGTGCAGCTTGTGGAGTCTTGGTGCTCCAGCTAGGGGTTGGGCCTGAACCTCCAAGGTAGGTGACCTGAGCCCCAGGTGTTGAACACCAGAGAACTCCTGACCTGATTGAATATTAGTCAGTGAGGATTCTCATAAANTTTGGACATGACTGAGCGACTGAACTGATGACTGATTCACGTTGTTGTATGGCAGAAAGCAATACGACGTTGTAAAGCAATTATCCTTCAATCACGAAAAAATAATAAATTTTCTAGAACATGAGGGAAAAATGAGAAAAAAAAAGAAATATCAAATCACTATATTGTGTGACAGGAACTAGCACAGTGTTGTAGGTCAGTTATACTTCAGAAACTAATTCATAGGAAAACAGAGATCGAATTTTTGGTTATCAAAGGTGGAGGGTTGTGGAAAGGGAATTATTTAAAAGCAATCGAAAGGTACATACTTTCAGCTATAAAATAATAAGCATTAGGGGTGTAATGACAACATAATAAATGTGATTAACATTGATGAATGTTCTATGTGAAAGCTGTTGAGAGTAAATCCTAGGAGTTGTCATCACAAGGAAAAAAATTTTCTTTTAATTAAATTTGTATTTATACAAGATAATGGATGCTCACTAAACCTACTGTGATAATCATTTCATGATGTATGTAAGTCAAATCATTGTGCTGTACACCTTTAACTTACACAGTGCTGTATGTCAACTATATCTCAACAAAACTGGAAAAAAGAAAGAAAAGCTTTCTAAGGAGATGTGATAGTCCCTCCAGGATGCCATCAAAAAATATCGTTGAGTGGTTGCTTATAAACAGCAGATATTTATTATTCATAGTTTTGAAAGGTGTCAGAATAGTTGGTGAGTGTCTTTTTCTGGGCTGCAGACTTCTCATTGTATCCTCATATGATGGAGGGCACTAGGGAGCTCTGGATTTCTAAGAGCACTAATCTCATTCAGGAGGGTGCCTTCCTTAAGATCTAATAACCTCCCAGAGGCTCTGTCTCCCAGTACCATTATCCTGGGTTAGGATTTCAGCATATGAATTTGAGGGGAACACAAACCTTCAAGCTGTAGTGGGAGAGGAGCAACAATGACAGTTGAATGTGTAGGGACATGTGACTGGCAAAAATTTCCAAAACTCAAACAGGAACAATGTCTTCAGATCATCTTGGGGAAGAGGAAACTGGGGAGATGAAAGCTGCCCCCACCCCCACAACGCCCTACCCCCTTTCTCAGTACCAGGGCTAGAAAGGTTGTTTAGAGTCAGCAGATGGAACACAGTTGATGAATAGTTTCTACGGTGTTTGAATTTGGCCAGGAGTGTTTCTTAAGTTTCTATTTTTTGAGATGTTTGCTTAGCTATTGTGAGCATTTTTTTTTTTCCATTTTGTGTCTTAATTAGCTGTTGGGAAAAGTAAGTTGTATATTTATCTAGTCACTGCTTACAGCATGTTATTAAAAACACTTAATTGTTTTGAGGTTTTCTAGGACTAGCATATTGCAAACAATGACAAACTTATCCTCCTCTCCCATAGTTACAGCCCTCATTTGTCTTAACTGTTTTAGTGCACTGGTTAGAATTTCTAGAGCTCTGTTGGAGAGTAAAGGAAATGGTAGGCTTTTGGACATTCCTACTTTGTTTAAGATTTAGTGAGATTGAGTCTAGGGCCTTACAGTTAAACATCATGTCATCAGCTGGTTTCAGATAAGCTATTCTTAATTAGGTTAAGAAAGTGTTCTTTTGCTACCAAAATTGGTAGTAAAAGTAAAAACAATAGCAACTACAAACCAAGAATAGATATGGAATTTTATTGGATTGAATTTGGAAAGTTTTTTTTTTTAATAACATAAACATGGCTCTGTCATCTTTAATTCCTAAGAACTAGCAGATTCAAAGGTGAAATAGTGGTGAGCTTTCCAAGTGCACTATTTAAAGTTCTGAGGGCAGAGCAGGCTTACTCAGCAAGATACAACACTCAAAAAGGAACGGCATGCAAGGTTAGGCCAGAGGAAAAGAGGAACTGGTGGTTGCTATTTATTTAAAATTTTTAAGGAAGTTGTTTATTCCCAATAATTGAAGAGATCAGAGAGGCATTTAATCATTAGACTGTCAAACAGAACTCTACTACAGCTGATTAAAATCTTTAAAAAATTTTTTATGGAGAAAGATTTAATCACTTTCTCTACTGATATGCTCTGATGTCTTCATGAAACCTGGAAGTTCTTCCTGATCTGAATCTTTCTTGCTGAGATACAGGCTTGTTTTTTCCTCCTATGACTCATCTTTAAAAAAAGAAACAAAAAACAGTAATTTCCCTATAAAGTAAGTCCAAGAATTCATAAGGAACTGCACCCCATTAAAAAGCCCAGGATTCACATGACCACTTGAGAGTATTCCACTGGTTCAGAGACAGCAGGGTTCACAAAAGTCCAGAAATTGGGCTTGTGGCTCTTTGGCTTGACATTGACATAATCTGTGGCTTCCTTTATGTTCTCATAGTCCAGGACAGAGTCATTTCTTCGATCTCCAGGGGCTGCAAAGACTACCTGTGTGTAGTTCACATCCTTGGTGACCTTAGGGGGGGAAAAGCAAAGAAATTTGGGTCAAAATTCCTACCACGTTTGGAGAAGGTATTCAACTCAAAGAGGCTTGCCCTAGGCCAGATGGGAAAGAACCTGGAAAGAACCTGGTGTCTGAGAGCAGGGCCAAGGCAATGAGAGAGATTGCTCCTTGCACCTGTGGGAACGAATGGCTTAAGGAAGAAAAATGTGGAGACTCTCCAAGTGAGGTCGGGACTCAGAGTGGACTTTGGCCAGTAACTGGGACGTGGGGAGAAGGGGATTTCCTGTGAGCACCTTCATTTTTAGAGCCCGCTCAGACCCGCTTGGTCTGGACGCTCTGTGCTGTTGGTGCAGGCCTGTGAGTGAAAACCCGACCACCCTCACGGAAGGCTGCTGTAATGACTTGGTGGCCCTCCTTCCTTGCTCACGTCTCTGCAGCCCAGGTGGCCCCAGACTGCTGGGGTCACTAGGGGTGTCCCTTACCTGGCAGGTGGTGGGAGGTGAGCTCTCTGAGCTGTCAGAGCTATCTGAGGATGTGTCACTGTCATCTAGGGAAAAACAGAAATTGTTCTTCTTCTAAAGGCAGCCAGAGGGTGGTTAGAGAGTATAGAGGCAATGGAAGGAAGCATGAGACAAAGACAGAAGCAGAGCCAGCATCTCAAGTGGAGTGGGGAAGAGAGACCAGTGTCCCCCAGAGAGAAGAGAGGAATGGAGCAGAGAAAGGGGAAACCTCTGGAAACAGCCAGGAACATATCCAAGAGTCCAGGCCCTGCTGTATTTCCAGCTCCATCGAAAAGTAAGTACCAAGCCCGCAAGGCTGCCCTGTGCTTGAGAAAGACTGTCTGCTGGAAGGGGAGTAAGTGGGGTGTGCTGAGCCGCTATGGCCCAAGGCAAACAGATCTGGCCCCAGAAATCACAGGCACAGCTTCTAATCTAAGCCTGTCACTAACTCCAGGCAGATTACATTTCTCTTTGTGCCCTGGTCTTGTCCCCTTTGACAGAGAGGGTTGGATGAGGATCTCTGATGTCCCTGCCAACCACCGAGTCTCTGATTGCAGCCAGGCTTCAGGGAAGCTTTGGGATCAAGGGTCATGGTGAGGCCAGTGCCTCCCCACTTCTTCTGAAACCCTGAGTTCATGCAAGTGGCATGTTTTGGGTCCCTCATGCATTGAAGCCTTATCTTGGTGCTGAGGAAGCCTGACAACCAGATTTCTTTAACGGAAAAGATAAAATTCAGAAGGATGGGGCAAACTTAAATCAACCAAAAGATAAGCAGTGAAAAGGGCAATCTCTGGTGAGTGAATGTCTTGCTGCGGAAGCAGCAGCTTGCACTGTGTGAAGAGTGGCCCGGCAGGTCTCTCAAGTGGGGAGAGAGAGAAAACAGCAAGACTGTGGTGTTCCTGTCGGTCCCCTTGCTGGAGGGGGATACAGATGTGAACCGTCACCAAGGCTCAGGTTTATTAAAATGCCCAGATCCCATGGCTGGGAGCAGACAGAGGTGGTTGAAATCTGGGCTCTAGATAACGGCGGGCGAAGAAAAGATACCATCGTGTCACAGAGACGGGAGCAGAGACAGCGCCCAAGCCTGCCAGGCAGCCAGGAAAGAGCTAAGGCCTACACAAACCCACTGCCGTCTGCCCCGCCGGATAGGACGGGTGGCCTTCTGAAAGCAGCGGCCTGGCTTGGCCTGCACTGGGGAGGGTGTGAGGAATCCTCTGGCTCGTGGTTGGGGCAGGAAGACGGGCTGCTGCGAGGAGGCTCCCCGGGTACTCCAGACACAACAGCAGCAGCGCTATGGCACGTTCCCCTCGCAGTAGTACTCACTCTGGTAGCGAGGCTCGGGCACCAGGACGTTCCTCTCCACCCGAGTCTCCTTCCTCTCCTTGGCAGCAGGCGGGCAGCAGTGAGCTGGACTAACGCTGGGGGCTTGGGACCTGGCCTCTTTCAATATGCGCTCATTTTCCTTGGCTGCCGGGGACAGGGCAAGAGTCAAAAGTGGATGTTCTCCTGGCCAGGCACATCCTGCATCTGTGAGCACAGCTCTCCTGAAGGAACATCCTCAGACAGATCTCTTCAAAGCTCAGCCCTCCGATGCTCAGAACCCTGCAGCGCCCCGGCCTCACGTGGAGTAAAAGCTCCAGTCCAAGCCGGAGGCCTCACGCCCTTCCCCCTTCCTGCCGCACCTCAGCTCCATCCCGCTGGGCCCCTCTGCTTCCAGCCAGGACGAGCAAATCCCCTAGTTTATGGACTTCGTAGGTGTGGCTCACTTCCTCACTTCCCTCAGGGTTAGACTCAAATGTCAGTGTCTCAGGGATGCTGACCCCCATCCCGTTCATATCTCCCTGCCTTGCTTCATTTCTCTGTACACTTACCCTGACCTGACACACATTTTATTTGCTTGTTTGTTGTCTGTATTACCCACGGAATGCAAGGTCATAATGGCACGGATTTTTATTTTGATTCCTGTTGTACTGGATAAATGAATGAATGACGAGAAAAGCTTAGACTTACATCATCCTGCTCAATCCCTTGTCTTAGCACAGCCCAAGCGGTGTTATTTTACTTCCCCTAATTATAATGTCTTCCTTGGACACAGCATCCTGTCTTTCACTGCAAATCAGCTCAGAAATTTAAGCTAATATCTTAGTCTAACCATACTCCTTTCTGTTGTAATTCAAGGCCATGTCTACACATCTCTTGGCAGTGATGAAGGAAATTTACTACGCTCGGGTTAAGTAAGCCCAGCCTCAAGAGCATCGCAGAAGCTTGTCTCTAGGCAGGAGGTCTGGGTGGCAAAAGGACTCTCAGCCGTCATTCCCAAGCAAAGATGGGCCGGGTCAGAGTGAGATAACCCACTTAGAGGTTGGTGGAGTGAGGGGACACCTGGCTAGCGATCCCTCAAGTAGGATTTCAAGTGATATTTAGGGGCTCATCTTGCTGTGGGCTTGGGAATGGTCCCTGAGGGGGACCAGGAGGGAAGAGAACGCTGAGCCAGTTACCCATGTGCCTGCTGAGCAGGTAGTTGATGACTGCGAGGAGACAGGCCTGCAGGATCAGCGACACTACTGCAATCACGATTCCATGCCAGACCTCCATGACCCTGTTGGGAAACGAGGAAATCAGGTGAGAGCTTCCGGAGGTGCTGAGACAGCTGCAAACCCATCCCTGCCCCAAGCCAGGGGCAGCTTGCAGGTACTGCTGCTGTGGCTTGAGTCCCTTCCCTGTTGAAAGGGAAGGCTTCAGGACCCGGGGAGGGTGCTGTGCGCAGGAAGTGATGTTCCCTTCACGGGAACCTGAGCCGGCTCTCCCCAGACCACTCACTGAGCTAGCATGACAAGCTCCTGGAGGGCCGCCGCGGGTGGCGGGTGGCGAGTGGGGCACAGGCTCTCTCTGGCACCTTGTCTCCAGGCAGCACCCCCGGCAGGACGGCCCTGGAGACCGGCAGAGGCGAGGCAGTGCGTCAGAGCTCTTGGGCAGTCTCTGCTGGTGGGGGGTCGTCACCTTTCCTCTCCCCAGATTCCAGTTTCTGAATCTACAAAACAGGCAGTAACAGGATTAGCACCTGCCAGCCCCAGGGCTGAGCCCCCCGCAGCCCGGCCCTCCGAGCTGATCCACACAATCCTAGGACCTAGATGTCACTGCCCTCCTCTTATAAGGAGCCACGTGAGGCCCAGAGGGCTGAGGGACATGTCTGAGGCCCTCCAGTCAAACCTGGTTTGAGCTCTACATCCAGGCCCACACTCCCCAACATTCTGTCTCTTCTCCAGAGCCTTGCCTGCTGCTGGAAGCACAGAGCAGTCCCACAGGAGCGAATACCCTGGGAGAGATTCTGTGACACACACCAGTGTCACACACACACACACACACACACACACACACACACACGTGCACCCACACTGCTGAAAGGAAATAAATTAGGAGTTTGGGATTAGCAGATACAAACTACTATATATAAAACAGATTAAAAAAAAAAACAGCCAAGGTCCTACTGTATAGTACAGGGAACTATATTTAATAACCTGTAATAAACCATGATGAAAAAGTATATATATATATATATACACACATATATATTCTTAATCATTTTGCTATGCTCCAGAAACTAACACAATTTTGTAAATCAACTATACTTCAATTAAAAAAAAATTTTTTTAGTGTCAAAAATAAAGACCACAGTGCTGAGTATGGAGTGTATTATAAAACAAAGCCAAGATGGTTTCAAAGCTTTTGAAATGATCTTTACTTAGCACAAGATGGGCCACATGATGGCCCATTGTCCTGCTGCAGACGATAAATGCTGAAAAGCCTTTTATTGCCGATAAAGCTTATTTTCTCAATCAGGGTTTCCAAGTGTTAAGAGTAGTGTGGAAAGTCCTGCCTTTTTTACTTCTACCTGTAGTTCTACACTGGGTGGGCCTATCCAAGATCCAACTTGGACTAAGTTTGGAGAGAGAGGAGGCGATAACCGAGGAGGGAGCCTGAGAGGTTTGCCACCACCGCCTCTCCAGGGCTGGGTTGTTGGCCAGCCGGAAGCTGCCAGAGAGAAAAAACTACTTTCTCTTCTACATCCTTCACCAACCAACAAGCCAGTCTTCAGGAACAACTTTTTTTGTGTGAGGTCGAAAGTTGGGAGCAGACTTCCCTGGTGGTCCAGTGGTTAAAGAAGTCGCCTACCAGTGCAGGAGACGCAGAAGATCCCACGTGCCGCAGGGCGACTAAGCCCGCATGCCTCAACTACTGAGCCCTGGAGCGCCAGGGCCCGTGTGTCGCCACAACTGAGCCCACACACCGCGACCAGGGAAGCCGGCGCACCTGGAGCCCTGCTCCAGCAAGAGAAGCCCCCGCAGTGAGGAGCCCGCACACCGTAACCAGAGAGGAGCCCCTGCTCACTGCAGCCAGAGAAAGCCTACACACAGCAGCGGAGACCCAGCACCGCCAGAAAGAAAGAAAGGAGAAAAACGGGAGCAACACACGCCCAATTTAGGCATCATACTTAGCTTAAGTCACCTCTTTCTGACATAATAAGTTCTGATACATAATAAATTCTAGACACTTTTCCCAAAGGAACCTAACTCTATCCACTCTTTACTTTTCAAGTTAAATGAGCAAAGTATACCTAACATCATCACTCTTAAAGAATGCTATTTAATTTGATTTATAAAGATGGATTCAGCATCCAGACATGAGTTCTTCATTATGTATAGATTCAGTATGCGAGATGTGTCAGGAAGATGGAAAGTGGGAACATTCTAAGTGGGGGAGATCCCCCCCACCCCACTTCATCCGAACACCCACCACCCTGGTGCCGAGGAGCACCAGAAAGTCACCTCTGGAAAAGGAGTCTCCTGTGGTTCCTTCTGCAGGAGTGTTGCATTAACTCACTTTTGTCATGGCATGAAGGGGTCACTGGGAGCAGGAGGTGGAAACTGATCCAGATGGCAAGCCAAGTGAGAGGGGACCCCAGGAAACCACCTACCTCCCCCTTTACACATGGACATCACCAGATGGTCAGTATCAAAATCATATTGATTATGTTCTTTGCAGCCAAAGATGNCCCACTTTATCCGAACACCCACCACCCTGGTGCCGAGGAGCACCAGAAAGTCACCTCTGGAAAAGGAGTCTCCTGTGGTTCCTTCTGCAGGAGTGTTGCATTAACTCACTTTTGTCATGGCATGAAGGGGTCACTGGGAGCAGGAGGTGGAAACTGATCCAGATGGCAAGCCAAGTGAGAGGGGACCCCAGGAAACTACCTACCTCCCCCTTTACACATGGACATCACCAGATGGTCAGTATCAAAATCATATTGATTATGTTCTTTGCAGCCAAAGATGGAAAAGCTCTAGACAGTCAGCAAAAACAAGACCAGGAGTTGACTGTGGCGCAGATCATCAGATCCTTATTGCAAAATTCAGGCTCAAACTGAAGAAAGTAGGGAAAACCATTAAACCATTTAGGGATAACCTAAATCAAATCCCTTATGATTATACAGTGGAGATGACAAATAGATTCAAGGGATTAGATCTGGTAGACAGGGTGCCTGAAGAACTATGGACAGCGGTTCATAATATTGTACATGAGGTGATGACCAAAATCATCCTGAAGAAAAAGAAATGCAAGAAAGCAAAGTGGTTGTCCGAGGAGACCTTACAAGTAGCCGAGAAAAGAAGAGAGGCAAAGGAGAAAGGGAAAGATTTACCCAACTGAGTGAAGATTTCCAGAGCATAGCAATGAGAGATAAGAAAGCCTTCTTAAGTGAAAAATGTAAAGAAATAGAGAAAAACAATAGAATGGACAAGACTAGAGAGCTCTTCAAGAAAATTAGAGATACAAAGGGAACACTTCATGCAAAGATAGGCACAATAAAGGACAAAAACAGCAAGGACCTAACAGAAGCAGAAGAGATTTTTAAAAGGTGGCAAGAATACACAGAAGAACTGTACTAAAAAGCTCTTCAGTTCATTTCAGTCACTCAGTCGTGTCCAATTCTTTGCAACCCCATGGACTGCAGCACGCCAGGCCTCCCTGTCCATCACCACCTCCCAGAGTTTACTCAAACCCATGTCCATTGAGTCGGTGATGCCATCCAACCATCTTATCCACTGCCGTCCCCTTCTCCTCCCACCTTCAATCTTTCCCAGCATCAGGGTCTTTTCCAATGAGTCAGTTCTTTGCATCAGGTGGCCAAAGTATTGGAGTTTCAGCTTCAGCATCAGTCCTTCCAATGAATATTCAGGACTGATTTCCTTTAGGATGGACTGGTTTGGTCTCCTTGTAGTCCAAGGGACTCTCAAGAGTCTTCTCCAACACCACAGTTCAAAAGCATCAATTCTTCGGTGCTCAACTTTCTTTATAGTCTATCTCTCACATCCATACATAGCTACTGGAAAAACCATAGCTTGGATTAGATGGACCTTTGTTGACAAAGTAATGTCTCTGCTTTTTAACATGCTGTCTAGGTTGGTCATAGCTTTTCTTCCAAGGAGCAAGCATCTTAATTTCATGGCTGCAGTTACCATCTGTGGTGATTTT